CCCCACTTGCCCAAAATGTAGTTAGCACCTGCAGCTCCAGAACACATTTTGGCTTGCATTAGATGTACTAAACAGGACCTTTGGGAGAGGATGCTGCTTATCATCAAACAGCTCGAGGAGCATGAACTCATGGAATGTGTATAAACTTTGCACAAGGGGATAAGAAACAACACCTTTTTTTTTTTTTTTGCTTATCCCTAATACACGTGGTACAGGCCATGATAATCATGGTGGGTAGTTAGCGACTGCTTTAACTGTAAGCGCACCACATGTCTATACATGTGAAAGCAGTTCGACTTTGCACTTACAAATGTGCCAGAGCCCCGTTTGGTTACTTGCACTCGCTGGTGGGGTTGGACTTTTGCAAGAATCGGGGGGCCATTGGAGCATTTTTTTTTTTTTTTAAACAGAAAAAAGTGTCCAATGCGGGTTCGAACCCGGGTCGTAGTGGCCGTAAACCAAACGGTTTAACCAGCCTTCCACCGACCCCCAACAACTTAAAGAGGCAAACCTCCTCTAGACATGTAAACCTCCTGTGGAAGACCAATCTGTTGAGAGAGCTAACCACCTTTGCAAAACCTCTAGTGAGAGATCACCTCCAGAAGAGATCATTCAGTACAGAACATCTCCAGTCAACTAGGACCTCAATCTGTCCTTCCTTAGTAAGAGGAATAGGGTATCTCTAAAAGCATACAGCTCCTCTCCCGTCAAAATAAACGTCAAAACTAGGTGCCATCTATTAACCATTACCGCAACCATCGGTGACAAAGCCACAACACCAGCTTTGGCAAACTGTAAAGCGTCCACCTAGAGTCCATGGTTTCAGGATAATGGCCCTTGACAACCTAGGGCGGACTTTATTTTATGAGATCCACACGGGATCCAATGGAATCTTCACAATCTGCCAAAGAGGTATTTAGCTGGTAAAGTGGCTGGGACATATCTAAGGCCAAAATAGAGATAGGAAAATTTGCCGGGAGGATATTGATCTAAAAAGCCTAGGGCTCTTCTCCAGCCAAAATAGATGGTGTCTAAGTTTTTTAAGTTTAATTTGACTGGAATGGAGCCCTATACTTTTTAGATGAATTTCCTCCAGGCAAATTTTCCATCTAAAAGAATGGTGTAGATAGGATGACAGAACAGCCCCTGTTTGTGCACTTGTTACCTCACTTGTGAACTCACCCTTCTTGTTCTTCCTGCTGTGGCTCCATTTCTTTATATTCTTCTTCTCAAAGATGGCATCTTCAACTTCAAAGACATGTTTCTTCTTCTCGCTGGAGATGGCAGGACTGGACTTGAGGAGGAAGAAAAACACTCCTCCAGGAGTCCGTCTTCGCCCTCCATTCTGGACCAATGGTCAAACTTCAATATACATAGTCACAAATAACGAAGTATGTACAATTTGGATTATAGATTAGAAACAAAAGGGTTTTTTTAAATTATTATTATTCCTAGTACAAGTGGTACAGGCCATGATAATCATGTTGGGTAAAAGTTGGGCAACTGCTTTTACTGTAATTGCACCACATGTCTACCTAATGTGAAAAGCAGTTCGACTTTTGCACTTACAAATGTGCCAGAGCCCCGTTTGGAGAAACATAAGGTAACGAGACCAAATCCAAATAAATAAAGAGTGTTCACACACTATTTCAGTACTTTGTCTGATGATGGTAACAAATCTGTTACCAAAATATCATAAATATTTTAATAATTTGGATTTGTGTTCTTGTTATCTGATTTGACTCAAATCAATACTTCAAAGTGTACCTTATCATGATGTTATAACCAGATAGAAAGCCTGGGAACTTAGAATTAAGATATTATAAGGGAGTAGCTGCTATAACTAGAATTCAGTGTTTTGTAAGTGCAAAGTCGAACTGCTTTTCACATGTGTAGACATGTGGTGCATTTACAGTAAAAGCAGTCACCTACTTCTACCCACCATGATTATCATGGCCTGTACCACGTGTACTAAGGATAAGAAAAAAGAATTCACTGTGTGTGGTTCAGAGATGATGCTCCACTATCCACAACATTCAGTTGCACACAAAATCCTTTATTAAGTCTTATACAGTAGAACCTCCCTCTGTAAAGGACATCAAATTGCAGAGTCAAAGTGTTCTTTAGGGAGAGGTGTCCTCTTACCGGAGAGTTACTAAATGGCAAAAAAAGCTAATTTTGCAAATGAAAACTGTCCTTTATAGAGAGGAGTTTTCTAGCATGAGTGTCCTATCATAATGTGCATGGATTCACTACGGAATCTGCAAATCAAAGGAATGTTTAAAAAGTAAAAGATATTTACATTTTTTTATTATAACACACTCATGGACAAACAACTTAAACAAGTTGTACTGTTGATAAGGCACAATTTGGATTATAGATTATAAACACAAGGTAATAAGACCAAATCCAAATAAATAAATAGTGTGTGACGTTTTGGTAACAGCGTTGTTACCATCTTCAGACAAAAGTACTGAATGAGAAATTTTACCACAGCATGTTTTAAATAGCTACTGTTAGTAGTGTTTTACTGTTAGTAAAAAAAAAAGGGGGGGGGGGTTTTCCCACTTTTAATTCTAAGAATAATATTCTGTGTTTCTCAGATAAATATCTTCTTCTTATCTGTTATCTTGTTTACACACTTGATAACAGTAACTATTTAAAACATGCTGTGGTAAAATTTCTCATTCAGTACTTTTGTCTGAAGATGGTAACAGTGTTGTTACCGAAACGTCACACACTATTTATTTATTTGGATTTGGTCTTATTACCTTGTTTTAAGTTGTACTGTTGCCTGCAAGAAAGAGAGAAGAAAGGTACATTTCAAAATGTGCATAAAACTCCCTCTATAATAAAATAATTGAAGATTGTAAATAATAAACAAAACAGCGAGTGCAAATAACCAAACGGGGCTCTGGCACATTTGTAAGTGCAAAGTCGAACTGCTTTTCACAAGTGTAGACATGTGGTGTGCTTACAGTAAAAGCAGTCGCTAACTACTCACCATGATTATCATGGCCTGTACCACGTGTACTAGGGATAAGCAAAAAAAAAAAGTTTCTTAATTTTATATTGATAAGGCACAATTTGGATTATAGATTATAAACACAAGGTAATAAGACCAAATCCAAATAAATAGCGTGTGACGTTTCGGTAACAGCGTTGTTACCATCTTCAGACAAAAGTACTGAATGAGAAATTATAACTATTTAAAAACATGCTGTGGCACACATTTTATTTATTTGGATTTGGTCTTATTACCTTGTGTTTAATTTTATATTCTTCTCAAGCATTCGGATTACACAAACCCTTCTATATAGGAGTACAAGATAAGATTAAAGATAAGAATTTTATCATATACTCCATTATAAGGGTTTGTGATACCTGAATGCTAGAGAAGAAAATAAAAATAAAACAAGAAACTCATTCCTCCTTTGAAAAAATCATTTAGTTTATTATTTATATGTTGTTGTTGTTGTTTCTTATCCCCTTGTGTGAAGATTACACGAATTCCATGAGTTCATGCTCCTCAAGCTGTTTTATGATGAGCAGCGGCCTCTCCCAAAGGTCCTGTTTAGTGCATCTAAGGCAAGCCAAAAATGTGTTCTGGAGCTGCAGGTACCAAACAACATTTTGGGCAAGTGGGGTAGATTTTGTTATTATTGTCTATCTTCAAGGGCTTGAGATGGTCTGTTCTAAATCTTGTTATTATATTATATTATTTATATGTAATCGCAGTGGATTTTATTTTTCCGAATTTTAAAAATATAAGGTAATAAGACCAAATCCCACTGCCACTGAGTAGTACTCCCAGTCTTTATGACAAAGGCATTCTACTTCACCCAATCATGATGAAGATAAGAAAGAAGAGAAAAGAGACCAAATCCAAATTTCTATTTATTTATTTGGATTTGGTCTTATTACCTTGTGTTATTGCCTTATCGAATTAAAAATAGTTTGATTCAGACTCAAATAGGAAGATTCTGGAAGATTCAAGAGGGTAGAAACTTGCAACAACAAGATCTTCTTTCTTATCTCCATTAAATCATATTAAGGTATCAAGCTTGTAAAGTTGACAACCATCATGACTGGGTGAAGTAGAATGCGTCTGCCTTTGTCATTAAGACTGGGAGCACTACTCAGTGGCAGGCCGACTTAGCTCCAAAAGAAATGGCCGCCTCTCACATGAGGAACAGACGCCCTGTGCAGCCACTCCTAACATGGAGTACAAACGCTGCTCATCCTGTATACCTGGATCAGGAGCCCTTACAGGGTACTATCAGTCGGGCCAGCTGAGCCCAGGTTTTTTAGTGAGCTTGTTACTGCTTCCCCTCCTCCTTTTTCATCTGGGCTTGGGACCGGCAAAGGCGGAGTTAGACGAGAAGATAAATTCATAGAATTTAATTTTGTTAAGCAATTCCTCCAACATGCTGAATACCACTTTAAAAGATAAAATATACCAGACAATATACGAGGAGAGATGAACCACTTTCAAGATTTATTAGTTGGGTTACAAGATCTTTTAAAAACAAAACCATCCCAGATAAACACAAGGTAATAAGACCAAATCCAAATAATTGCGCCTCATCATCCCAGATAAAGAACAATACCATTGCTGAAGTTGATGCAATAAGTCCAGATATACTTAACAAAGTGTCTTGGCAAATATCTTCCACAGGGCTTATCTGTGACAAGCTGAAAATGGACATCTTACATTTGAATTGGTATTAGTTTTCAATTATAGACAATTTCCCCATTGGAATATATATATTTTTTGCTTATCCCTAGTACACGTGGTATAGGCCATGATAATCATGGTGGGTAGAGGTTTGACGACTGCTTTTACTGTAAGTGCACCACATGTCTACACATGTAAAAAGCAGTTCGACTTTGCACTTACAAATGTGCCAGAGCCCCGTTGGTTATTTGCACTCGCTGGTGGGGTTGGACTTTTGAAAGAATCGGGGGTCATTGGAGCATTATTTTTAAACATAAAAAAGTGTCCAATGCGGGAATCGAACCCGGGTCGTAGTGGTCGAAAACCAAACGGTTTAACCAGCTGACCCTCCCTATTCTTCTCTGGTTGAGTTTAGCTCCAAAGAATTGATCCAACAGAGAAGGTTCCTCCCTAACTGTCCTCACTGTGACACTAATAAACACAATGTCATCAAAGACCTTACAGGTTTCATGGAGAGCTGTGGCAGACCTTCATTTGGCACAGCCTCTAAAGTACTGCCTTGGTGAAGCTTGCTTCCATTAACATTGTAGATATAAATTCTTATATTGCACTCATAGTTTTGCTGAAAATTATATATATCTTATATAAAGAAAAAAGATAAAGAGATTTTCTGTTGTATTTAGATCATGTTGAGGATTATAGTAATGCAGTTATTTGTTGGTTCTTTTTAGTAATATATGGTATTGGTGATGCAGTCGTGGTTAAATCTTCAAAGTAAAATAATAAAATAAGTTTTGATAAGAGATTGTTTTAATTGAGCCTTAATATAAACATAATTTGGGTAAAGTACTGCCTGGCTTAAGGCGTAAGAATAAAAAAATGAAAAGCTTATTTACATAATGTACAAATGTTTTGAGCCGACCAACGGAATAAAACAACGAGTTTTTATAGGGGAAGAGTGACCTCTGGCAGTCTATTTAGCAGAGCATTTGGATCTATAAAATATAATTTTAAATAGAATAATATTTTAATATAACATATATATACAGTAAAACCTTGTTAATACGAACCTGGGATATAGCGAACCTTCCCTTATAACAAACCTCAAACAATCCCCTTTCATAAACACAAGGTAATAAGACCAAATCCAAATAAATAAATAGTGTGTGATGTTTCTGTAACAGTGTTGTTACCATCTTCAGACAAAAGAGCTGAAAAAAATATGGTAACATTGTTGTTACAGAAACATCACACACTATTTATTTATTTGGATTTGGTCTTATTACTTGATATAATAATCTATAATCCAAATAGTGCCTGCCAAATCCAAAAAAAATAGTGTGTCAGATTATAAATAGACGGTAATAAGACCAAATCTAACTATTTATTTATATAGATTTGGTGTCTTATTACCTTGTATTTATAATCTATGATATAAATTGTGCCTTATCATTGATTCTCTTTCTTCTTTTTAATATTACAGTGAACTCCTATAGTGTTATAATGAACCATGGCTATAGTAAACCAAAGGTTCAGTCAGTACATTTGTAAGTACAAAGTCAAACTGCTTTTCACATGTGTTGACATGTGGTGCACTTAGAGTAAAAGCAGTCGCCTACCTCTACCCACCATGATAATCATGGTGGGTAGAGCTGCGTCTGTACTCATGTTAGAGTCGGCAGCAGAGGCGTCTGCTTCCATGTTAGGAAACGGCCTCAAACTACAGGCAAAGTCAGACTTTCACCAAAGTTTGTCTGGATCATTGTGCCATGATCAACGAAAGCTACACCCCATTCTATGAGATCTCATGGAATTCATGTAATCTTTACACAAGGGGATAAGAAACAACAACAACAACATGATTATCATGCCCTGTACCATGTGTACTAGGGATAAGCAAGAAGAAGAAGAAAGATTCAGTCTAATGGGATTCATTATAGAGGGGTTTTACTGTATATACAATAAGAGCCTCCCATGGGTGACATGGATTAAAAGTGGGTCAAACTCACCTTGATCAACATTCCTCCTTTGTCTTCAATCAGCTGTGTTTCTTGGAGAAGTTCGCGGCAGGTCTCTATCCCCAAGATGTACACGCACCTCTCTGCGCCACAACACACAACTTGGAGTCATATTATTGTAACGTAGAGGTTCTAACACTAGCTTTTTAAACTAAAATACAGTAGAACTACCTCCCTGTAAAGGACAACACCTAGTTGCAGAGCCAAAAGTGTCCTTTAGGGAGAAGTGTCCTCTTACCGGAGAGTTTCTAAATAGTAAAAATGATAATTTTAAAAATGAAAACTGTCCTTTGTAGAGAGATGTCCTCTAGCGCGAATGTCCTCTCATGGAGGTTCTACTCTATATTTATTAATTTTTCTTTAAAAAAAAAAAATCTTGTAGCAAAGCTATTTTTTCTCAATAAGAGGATAACTCAGTATTTTTTATTTAAATAGCCTTATTTAAAAGAAAGATTTTTTAAAAATGGGAGAGAGGAAAGGTGTATATGAGATAGCATATCAAAACATATGACATCACACACATGCGCAGGGTTAAACCATCACACCGTCTTCAAGCCATCAAGTACAAAAACTACTTTCAGACTTTACCACAAGGTGAGAAAATAAAATTGTTGGGAGAGTTTGCCTCAACAGTGGTGTACCCTCTCTCTGTTTTTAGGCTGATTACCACAGGATATAAAATAAAATTTAGTTTTCTACAATTGCAATGAGGTAAAACTTCAGTAAAACAGATAAGGCACAATTTGGATTATAGATTATAACACAAGGTAAAAAGACCAAATTCCAATAAACACATAGTGTGTGACGTTTGGGTAATGAAGATGGTAACAACGCTGTTACCAAAACATCACACACTATTTATTTGGATTTGGTCTTATTACCTTGTCTTCACTAAAACAAACCAGAGCTATAGCAAATCTTCCCTTATAATGAACCTAAAATAAATCTTCACTATTTTACCTTATTAATCCTCAACCTTAGTAATGCAGTAGAACCTCCATGAACCTCTCCCTAAAGGACAGTTTTCATCTCCTAAATGACATTTTGAACTAATTTGCACACACACAGTTGACCTGATGGAAATCTGGTCACCTGCGCCCTCTAATCTATAAAGAGGGAGCCAAAAGCTTCCCCATGTGCACTAGGTGCAAAACCGAAGAGACTACTCCCCAACATATACTAAATTGTATTGGAAAGGACAAAGGATCCCTGTACAGAGAACCAAGAAGAGTTCTTGAACTTCTTTATGAGCACGACCTCCAAGATCTTGTCTAATTTAGACTAAAAAGGATAAGTAAAAAAAAAAACTAATTAGCAACTTTCCAGTAAGAGAACATCTAAAAAGGATACTTTGGCTCTGCAAATAGGTATTGTCCTTTAAAGAGAGGTAGTTCTACTGTACTATAGAGTGGGAACATGGCTATAGTTTCAGTCCCACTGAAGTCTACTGTAGGAAAGTAGGTATTTATTCTGATAGATGGTACAAGCCATCAGCAACTTTCATTATACAATCAGGAGATGCCTTTTTCTAAATAAATCATTTTATATAAATTCTCCTCCCAGCCAACAGCTCAGTCACAGTGCAATGGCTTCCATCTCACGTTGGAATTCATGGTAATGAGCTGGCAGACTCTCTGGCAAAGGCTGGAGCTCTTGGCCTACCTGAAGCAAGAGAATCTACCACCCAACTAGACGAAAGAGACCTCCTCCGTACCATCAAAACCCAATGCCTGCAGGAATGGAAATCTGATGCTGCACATGACTGGTACAGAGCAGGAGGGACAAGCACCGGTTCTGTCCTCCTAAGAGAACAACAGTCTTTGATTTCCAGACTTAAGTCTGGTCATCTACGCGGACAATGACTTTCCAGAATGGTTGCAGGGTTCTCCCACATCTACTAAGTGCAATTCTCAGCCTGCAACCCCAAGACATATTATTGACTGTATTGACTCATCCATTGATGAGCTCTACTCTTCCACGGCAGACACCATCAAAAGTCTCAAGCTTTACAAGCTTGATACCTTAGTGTGATTTGAGTGGAGATAATAAATAAATAAATAGCATTAAATAATTCCACCCTCAACTTATACACTAGTACAGTAGAACTGTAACATCTAGTTGCAGAGACAAAGTGTCTTTTAGGGAGAGGTGTCTTCTTGCAAGATTTTTTTTTTAAATGGTAGACATGGTAAAAATGGTAACATAGAGAAAAATAAAGGTTCTTTTTGTTGTTGTTTCTTATCCCCTTGTGTAAAGATTACACGAATTCCATGTGTTCATGCTCCTCAAGCTATTTTATGATGAGCAGAGGCAAAAAAAAAAGAATTTTTTGCTAATGAAAACTGTTTTTTGAATAGAGGTGCCGCCTTCTAGTAGGAGTGTCCTTGTGTTCAACTGTGTATAAGAATTTACAAACCCTTTAATTCATCAAGATGGCACAATGTGGGCTGGAAGGAGGTAAGTAATACGTACTGATGAGCATATGTTTCCTCTCGTGCAACTGCCGGGTGATGAGGGCTGCCAGCTTGTCAGCTCTTCTGGCCTCGTTGGGTGCCAGGTCCGGGAGTCCTTTCAGCAGCTGGGTGAAATGGTTCAACTGGGGGTCCCTCTCCTCCTGTGGTGGGAGCTGGTAGGACTCACAGTCCCTGGCCACCATCGGACCTCTCTCCACGTCACACTGGGTCAGGTTGTCAGTGAGGGACTGCTCCATCAGGACATTCACCCATACACTGGTGGCCTTCCTTTTCTTGGACTCTGGGGTCTCCTCAGGCTCCGACCTGGCCTTAGAGGGCCGGTGCTTCCAGGACTGCTCATTCTCCGAGTTGTCGTCCTCGCTGTCTGAGGAGCTCACATCCTTGGACTGGCTGGATCTATAGGCCATTGCCATGTTGGACTGCTGCAACTACAGCTTCACAGTTGGATCACACCAGTTATTATGTGAGATTTTTAAATTATTATCCCTAGTACACGTGGTACAAGCAATGATAATCATGGTGGGTAAAAGTTGGCAACTGCTTTTTACTGTAAGTGGACCACATGTCTACACATGTGACAAGCAGTTTGACTTTTGCACTTACAAATGTGCCAGAGCCCCGTTTGGTTACTTGCACTCGCTGGTGGGGTTGGACTTTTACAAGAATAGGGGGACATTAGAGCATTTTTTTTTTAATTAGAAAAAAATGCCCAATGCAGGACTCGATCCCGGGTCATAGTGGTCGATAACCCAGGGTTTAGACCACCCTTCTTCCAATCTCCCATTATTTGAGAGATTGAAATACAATTCTAAGGTGAAAATATCCTGGGCATCCAAGGGATAAGTTTCTTTTTTACAAAATTTTAATTCCCAGCCTTCGGGCATGAAAGATGTGTTTT